AGTGAGCAGGAAGGGCCGCTTCACATCTCAGTACATTTGTCAGTACGGGGACCAGTGAGCAGGAAGGGCCGCTTCACGTCACAATTCTTGTGAACTCCCGACAATATGGCAACTCACAGTCCTTTCACAAAGTTCACGATTTTGTGCTTAGTTTTAAATTTTTCTAAGCCACCAATGAATGTATGTTGTTGCAAAATACCGGTTTGAGAAACTGGGACTGCTGCTCTCCTTGCAGAAAAAGCCTTTAGATATCTAATAGGTTGATTGATTAATTGACAGATCGCATTGCACCCAAGCCCAGAAGATACCAGCTCCTGCAGGAAGTATGGTTGATAGCTGGGCCCCTGTCCTCTCCTTAGGGTCACGTGATCCTCATTAGCAGGACCAATCAAGCGATTTCGAGACAATTAAGCAAGTTGGTTAAGTGCCAGTTGGACCAAAGCTCAGAACAGGCTCAGCTTTGCAGCCAAAGAGACTCAAACTGCGGCCAGTCTGCTTGCTGGGCTACACCACCTCCCCCCAAAGACAACAGCGCCCCCTTGTGGACACACGGTGATCAGTGGGGCCCGAATCCGGCTCGGATACCTTTCTCCGCCAGGGAGACCTTGTAGTTCTCCAGGAAGATGACCTTCAGGCGGTCGCCCACCACGGGGTCGTTGTTGACCACGTCGCCGATGGAGGTGATCAGCTTGATGATGATCTTGGCCATGTGGTACCCTGGGGCGGCCTGTGGGGGAGAGGAGGGGGGAGTGAGATCTCATTCTGGGGCTCAACCATGGGACACATTTCTCTCGATTTCTCTCTCTCTCTCTGCCCATCACTCCCGCACCCTGGACCCTCGCTGACGTCCATCTGTCTTCCACCCCTCTAGGCTGACCCCCCTCCCCCCTCATTCCAGCTGGGATTATCGGTCACCCGTTTCTGAAGTTATTGATCGGCCAATCGATCATCCTTCGATCAATTAAGGCGGTGCTGTGCTTTTCAACACCAGAAAAGTGACGCAACAGAGGAGGCCATTAGACCGTCGAGCCTGCTTGTGACTTAGGGGCCCTAGCATCAGCTTCAGCCACAGGGCCGGGCGGCTTGCTCCAGACCCCTGCCACCCTCTGTGTACAGAAGTGCCCCTTGTTCTGTCCTGTCAAGTGCGCTCCCTCCCTGTCTCGG